AACTTCACTGTATAATTCACCAGCAGGCTCTCTGCGCCAAAAATCTCAAATTCGAACATGTTATGAAACCAGTGGTAAAGGCAATAAATTCTATTCGCTCTAAAGCACTATACCACCGACAGTTTCAGCAGTTCTTGCTTGACATCCAGGCTGAATACGAAGATGTAATATATCACAACGATGTGAGGTGGCTAAGTCGGGGGTCTGCACTGCAGCGATTTTTCGCTCTCAGAGAGGAAATTGGACAGTTTTTGAGTGAAAAGGGGCAGCCGATGGAAGAACTGTCCGATCCTGAATGGCTGTCAGATTTGGCTTTTTTGGTTGACATAACGAAGCATCTGAATGCGCTGAATGTTAATCTTCAAGGACGCGATGCCGTGGTGAGCCAGCTATACGCTCACATCAAAGCCTTTGGAACCAAGCTGCAACTTTTCCAAAGACACTTGTCCCAAACAGAGCCCTGCACCGCGCACTTCCTGGCTTTGAAAGAGGTCATTGACAGTTTCCCACAGGACAACATCGGTGCGCAAATGAAGAGTTATGCAACAGCTATCGCATCTCTTTCTGTGGAATTTACCAAACGCTTTCGGGATTTTGCAGTTATTGAAAAGGACATGCTGCTTTTCTCTTCTCCCTTCTCCGTGGACCCTGATGATGCTCCTCCACAGCTGCAGCTGGAGCTCATTGAGCTGCAGTGTGACGATGAATGGCGCGGCAAACACCGGCAGCTTTCTCTTGTTGACTTTTACTGCAAGCTGGATAAAGACAGGTTTCCAGAAATGCGAACATTTGCTAAGAAAATGCTGAGCTTATTCGGCTCCACATATTTGTGTGAGCAGACATTCTCTGTCATGAACTTAAACAAGAACCGATTGAGGTCAAGACTGAGTGACTCCCACTTGCGTGACATTTTACGCATTTCAACCACTGCCCTCAAACCAGACCTGGCCTCTTTACTGAAATCCAGATCTCAGTATCACCCTTCTCATTAGTGTCAACAAGTTATCTGTTTCTTGATCAATCTGAAATTCAGTATTTTGAACGGTAACATCTGTCACTATCAACAGTGAAAATCCAAAAGAACATTTATGCACTTGGATTTATGGCACTTATTTTTATTAAACTCTTGAGTAAGATTTGGTTATTACTGTTGATGTTATGAACATGTAGATGTGACACAAACTATTACTTTCTGAAATTTATTGTAAATGACAAGAGCAAAATTCACTTGTTTTAAGATTTTAAAATAACAGACAACTTTGCATTACTTATAACTCCTGTTTAAAATGTTCATGAGGCAAAGATATTTTTAAACTCATGTAAATTTAAGGTATTTCATACAGTTCGTTCAATGTTATCTGACTCTCCAGATACGAATAAAAGGCAGAATTTGTGTTTTTAGAGTTGTTCACATCTGCCCGAGTGGCTTATATTTGGTTATCTTGTCATTTGAAAAATAAAGATAATTGTGACAATGAAAATTGTTTTATAACAGTGTGTATTTGCATGAAACTTTTGTAGTTAAAAAATGTCCGAGCAAACTATTGGCCCCCGGGCATCTTCACTTTATCAAATCTGGCCCTCTTTGCAAAAAGTTTGGACACCCCTGATGTAAATGTTTTGCAATTTCTTTTTCTTTATAAAATTTAGTTTTCATCAGAGCTGTTGTTTATATGCAAATCAGTTGCCATTAAATACATTCTTCAGTAAAATTTTACTGATATGAAATTGGTCTATTGTATTGAATCCTATCTTTGTATTTGGGTACTAAAAAGCGGTCCACATAGATACACATAGCACTGTGCACAAACAGTACACCCACTTTATGCCCACAGACGCATAAATATTGTTTTTTGCTGTTGTGCAGGTAAACTGATATAACTACAACAGGAAGGATAATTTTTTTTGTTTGTGCAACATTTTAAATGATTCCAACATCTTCAAGTAGCAAAATGTGGCAGTGCTGTAACCACTAAGTAGGGTACCAGTTCATATGCGCATGTGTAATTATACAAATTGTAAGAAAATATATTTCAGAAGAATCAATAAATTACAGTGTGAGATATTTAACAAGACAGTAGTGTCAAATCTGAAAGAACTACTTACAGTGCATTTTTATAACTTTGCACATATACAGTGCACAGATGCATTCATATATAACTCGCTGTTACATTCAGCAGGCAGCAGAGGGCCTCATTGAAAACATTATAGTCATTTTTGACCACGTTGTCCAAAACTACAGATAGATCAGGACAGACTACTACAAAATCCTCTTCTGCCTGGCTCCTGTCTTCTTTAGAGTGAAATGGGTCCACACCAAAGGTTGTCTCCCTGCTGAGAGACCCCAACTCCTGCTCATATCTGTCCACCAAAACAGTGGCACTGGGTAGCAGGTCCTCTGACACTTTGGCTAGGCAACCTCCTGCAGCTAGGTCATTGGGTACTCCTTTGCCTAGTAGCGGGAAAGAATTGTTAAGTTCCCCTCCATACAAAAACAAATTTTCTTGTTGTTCCTACTGTTACATAGCTGAGCATCTGTGCAGAGTGATGCACGGTTACTTTCACATATTATGCTTATTGCTTATTGAAAATCAGTTTTTCAGGACCTTGCCTACAAGAACCTGATTTGTTAGATTGTGGAGTTAGTAGGGAAGACCGGGGCTTGTTGTCACATTGCAATTATCCTTACCACCAGAGAGCCCATCTAAAAAGTGGAATTCTCGTTTTACTCCTTTACATGGTCAGGGGCTGTGTCCTGCCTGAGAAGAGAAGAGCACATTGTGAGCTGAGATGAGCACCAATTAACCATTTTGCACAACCCAAAGTTAGAAAAATTAACCTTATACTGTAAAATAAGCTTCTTCCAGATAAAAATCCTAGCAGTGATACATGTGGACTTGTTAGATGAGAGATTAAGGCATTCTGTCATACCTCAGTCATTATTCGGTTTTTAGCTAACTTTAAGCTAGAGCTATAATTAGCAAACATGGTAGTTTGAGGCAACATGTCTCAGTCATTTTGGGGTTAGTTGTCACATGTTTAAAAGGGATTATAATTAACACAGAGAGTCTGCTTATCAGCAATTCTGTCTGCCATCACAAACAACACTCGCTAAATGCAATGAAGAAACACTTTGCACTGATACACTGCTTCCTATGATTCAGGGAAAGATTTTTTGAATTAGAAAATGAGTCAAACAGACCAGCAGCCTACTCCATGTTTGACAGTGACACTTATAAGAAAATGCTCATCATAGTGTGTGAAATTGATGAAAAGAATGTGACATTTTTGGTTGATTCAGGTGCAACTCATTCTGTAATTTAGTCCAGTAAAAATTTGTTTGAAGATGAGCGCATGTGAGCAGTGGTCCGGAAAAACTTTATGAGGAACGTTTTTACAGGGACCTGAATGACTTTCTGACTGTGACTGACATTTATTTAAATGACAAAGATAGCGCAGCTGCTGTAGCTCTTAAACCAACTCAGTCAAAACTCTCTAAAGTTTCTTGTTCACCTCTCATTGTCAGCTGGCTAGCAGCTGGGCTCCAGTACAGGGCAATATATATATATTTTTTTCTTTCTCTCCCTTTTTCCGTGCTCATAGAATGCCATTTTTTGCATGCTGCAATGTTCTCTGTTCTGTTCATTTGGTTGAAAAAAAAGATTACAGCGGCACACATCCCTTCCTCTCCCCAACTGAGATTTCACCTCTGTTGTCACAAGTCCAAAGGTCTCTGTGGGCATCCAACAAGTATGACGTGGGATTGATAAAGAACTGTGAACCTGTACAGATAGATCCCAAGTCTGCATTCAGACCTCAACAACGTCAATACCCCTTCTGAAAAGGCGCCATTGATGGTATCACTACGGTTTTTCAGTCCTTACTCAAAGCAGGGATTATTGTACAATGTGAGCCCTCACCAGTTCAGACTCCTATTTTTTCTGTAAAAAAGATCAGACCCAAAGGTCAGCCTACAGAGTGGAGATTTGTACAAGACTTGCAAGCAGTAAATTCAGCCATTATTGCTCCTGCTCCTAATGTGCCAAACTTGTACACAACTATGGGCCAAATTCCACCTGATTCACAGTGGTTTTCTGTTGTTGACTTATCAAATGCCTTTTTTTCAGTTCCTGTGCAGGAAGACTCCTGGTTCCATAGAATGGAGAACACTCATGCTCTCCCAGATCTGATCTTGCAGACACACCTTTTTCTAACTGAGATCTTTTATGTTGATGGTTCTGCTTTTAGAGACACACTTACAGGTCAGTCTCATGGAGCTCTATTTCGTGTCTGCTGGTGAGGTTTTAACCCTCCTGTTGTCCTCAAGTTGAGACCGAAATCCCATGTCTCAAGGGTCCCACTGTCCCAGTCCACACTAACTGGTTTTTTTTTTGACCCAGTAAGGAAATAATGGCAATTTTTTTCACACTCCTGTAGTCCTCACACAGTAAACCTGCATCCCAAGTCTCAGGGGTCACACTGACTGGGGGGGTCTTTTTGACCCAGTGAAAGGTCGTGTAGTCCTCACACAGTAAACCTGCATCCCATGTCTCAGGGGTCACACTGACTGGGGGGGTCTTTTTGACCCAGTGAAAGGTCCTGTAGTCCTCACAAAGTAAACCTGCATCCCAAGTGTAAGGGGTCACACTGACTGGGGGTCTTTTTGACCCAGTGAAAGGTCCTGTAGTCTTCACACAGTAAACCTGCATTCCACATCTCATGGGTCACACTGTCCTTAATGTGGAAATATATACACACGCGCACACACACAAACACACACGCACACCTCCAGCAGGCAGGCAGGCAGGCAGGCAGGCAGGCTAGACTCACACACATACAGGCCAGGTTGGATGTTATTGACAAACTAGATGTGGGGTCATTTGTACCCCAAGCCCAGGGGGTGGGTAGGTATAATAATAATAATAATAATAATAATAATAATTATAATGTCATTTTAATTATAATATGAAAGCTCTAATATGGAGCTCGGTCTTGTTTTTTCAAACGGTGCCAACCATGGTCATCTTCCTTTTCAGTAGCTGCTGCCCGAGTTCGTAAGAGGTGAAGAAATTGTCGCAGGTGACGTTTCGATCCCTCAGTCCCTCCATGACATCGAGCACGACTTGCATCCCCAGGTTCTTTTCCGGGCCGTGGCCTGCGCGTGGGCCCGGGTCTTCTCCTTGTCCTCGTCCTCCTGCTCCTCCACCAACCGCAGCTGCAGCTGTGTCTGTGGCCGCGGCCTTCCCTGTGTACACTTGCATCTTCCAAGCGTAACTGGATTTAGAGTCGCACGCCTCCCATGTCTTGATCCCGTATTTCGCTGGCTATTACTGCCGAAAGGGACAACGCCCTCTAAACGGAACCAGCTGTTCGTCCACCGTTATCTCCGGCCCGGGGTTGTAGAGGTACGGCAGCCGCTCAGACCATGTGTCCCAGACCTAGCCTCACCGCTCCTGTCTTTTCTACCCCACTCTTGTTTATCGTATGCTAAGGAGGACCATATGATTTTGTCGTGTTTTGAGAGAAAAAACAAACCTTCTTTCGCTTGCTCCTCTCTCTCACCTGCTATTACCCCTTCTTCTTCTTCTTCTTCTTCTTCTTCTTCTTCTTCTTCTTCTTCATCCTCTTCCCCCTCTCTTTCCATTTGCTCCTCTCTTTCTTCTGTTACCGCTTCTTCTTCTTCTTCTTCATCCTCTCCTTCCTCTTCTCCCTCTCTTTCCATTTGCTCCTCTCTGTCTTCTGATATTACCATTTCTTCTTCTTTTCCTTCCTCTTCTTCTTCATCTTCCCTGTTTGGTTGGTTACTTGCCTCATAATCCTCCTCCTCAGACACATCCTCTGCTTCTTCATCGGGATTGCCATCATCAGAGAATGCATCTGACAACATCTGTTGCATGACCTGCATAGCGGTAAACTCTCGACTCATGGCTGCAGTGCAGTATTGTTTTATTTTTTGTTGTTGTTGTTGTTTTAGTAGTTATTGTTGTAATGCTGTATTAGGACAAGGATTGGTAGTAGTACAAGTTTTATGCAGGTGTAGTACGGTTTTACGGAGATGTGACTCAACTTGCTATAAACTTGATCTATTCAGACACACACTACACTTTTCTTTTGGATATTGTGCGTTGCACATTGCAGTAAACATTGGTTTTTTTTATATTTTTGGTAAGCACTTTATCTTTTACAAAACATATAGTCTCATTGGTGTTCAGACAGCATCCTAACAATATTTTCCCCCCCTTGAACCCACACAGAGGAAAAGTAATATGAAATATTGGAAACAGTTTGGTCTCTTTATTTATTTCATCATCCCTTACAGGATCATATATTTATAATATATAAACCTTAACACAGACAGATTGAAACACATAATCATACAGGAGCTAGTACAGTCAGTGATATTGAGTCCATATTTTGTGATGTACTCTCAACTCTACAAAACGTTTTCCCTCCTGAGCTTCCTTTGTGTCAGAGGCTAAATATGAGGAGTGGGGACATTTCATCTCAGAACCACAAATTTGTTCTTGTCTATCGCTGAGCCAGCCGCTCACCTTCCTGACTGAACTGCGCAAAGTAAAACGCAACTGGTTTAGTGGAAGAGAAGAACAGACACGTTGGCTTAGAGGTGACATGACAGCTCTAACTCCATGACATCTCGTGACATCTTCATCATCCCTTACAGGATCAGCAAAGGTTTAGTGGACATTGTAAACAGTACACACACACACACACACACACACACACACACACACACACACACACACACACACACACACACACAAAGAAAAGAAAGCCCACAGTGTGATATACAGTCAGTGATATTGAGTCCACATTTTGTGATGTACTCTCAACTCTACAAAACGTTTTTCCCCCGCTCGGCTTTCTTTGTGTCAGAGGCTAAATATGAGGAGTGGGGACATGTCATCTCAGAACCACGAATTCGTTCTTGTCAATCGCTGAGCCAGCCACTCACCTTCCTGACTGAACTGCGCAAAATAAATGCAACTGGTTTAGTGGAAGAGAAGAACAGACACGTTGGCTTAGAGATGACAAGACGTCCCATTGGGGTTCAGACAGCATCCTAACAATTCTGTTTCCTGCCCTTGAACCCACACATCAACAGAGGAAAAAATATATATATATAAAAAAAAAAACAATTAGAAACAGTTTGGTCTCTTTATTTTCCTTCATCATCCCTTACAGGATTCAATTCAATTCAATTCAATTATTTTATTCGATTAGCATTTAAAAATCCACCCACAACAGATACATAGTAAATTTCAAAAGCATCATAAAGCTAATCGAAAAGGTGTAGGCTGAAGCTCATGCTTATTTTGCCTACCCTTTTTACAAAAAAACAAAAACTTTAGCAAGGCGACTCTTTAACTACATGGTCTGAGTTACACCACAAGTCTTCTAAAGAAAAGGGAAAAAGAGAGAAAGAAAAGATAAATTCTCAAAAACATGTTAGAAAATAAATAAACCAACAATATTCCATAACAAGTATACATAACAAGGATCAGCAAAGGTGTAGTCCAAATTTTGTGATGTACTCTCAACTCTACCAAATGCCCCCACCCCCCTCAACCCCCCCCACCCACCCACCCCCTCAGTTTTCTTTGTGTCAGAGGCTAAATACTAAATATGAGGAGTGGGGACATGTCATCTCAGAACCACGAATTCGTTCTTCTCTATCGCTGAACCAGCCACTCACCTTCCTGACTGAACTGTGCAAAGTAAAACGCAACTGGTTTAGTGGAAGAGAAGAATAGACACGTTGGCTTAGAGATGAAGACAAGATTGTGCCGGTCTGTGTGGCCTGCCGTCTCTCGCTGTCAGCGTTGTTTGTGTCAAACATCGTTATCAGTAATGTCAGCTCACTGTTTGTGTATGACCACCAAACACTGCTGGATCTTCGCCCCTCTGCCAAGGATTTGGTGAAATTAGATCCTGATCACTGTGGTCATACGACGTTTAAGCCGTTTCACCTCCCCGGGATACCTGCTCACCTTCGCTGCACTTTCGCTCCACTTCCCTGGCGTAAACGCCGGCGCCGCCGTGGCAAACGCAGTGGCCAGCTGGTGAAAGCTAAAGCTCTCTTGGCTCGATCTTCCACGGTTTCCCTGAGGAGAAATGGAGTTGGATCTGGTCTCTTCCCTCATCTGCGATCGTTGCACCCTGTCGACTCCTGGCTGGTACCTGTCGTCGGTTTGGATGAGGTAATCCGTCCCCGCGGCCCCTGCTCTTCTCGTCCCCGCCGGCGTAGGGTGAATCCCCATCATCTACGGGCCCTGTGTCGGGCTCCACAATCAGCTGATGCCTCGGATGTGCCGATCTCTGCCAGGTTCGGCCTTGTCAATGCCAGATCACTGGCAAACAAAACTTTTATCCTGAAGGATTTTTTCATGTCCCGTGGATTGGATTTTCTCTGTGTGACGGAGACATGGCTGAGTACCGGTGAGTCCAGTCCTCTTATTGAAATCTGCCCGCCGGATTGCTGCTATTTTAATTCCCCGCGGTCGTCTGGTCGAAAAGGTCTGAGGTGGAATAGCAGTTATTTTTAAAAGCGACTTTAAATGCCGGCAGATCTGCCTGCAATTCTCCTTCAAAAGCTTTGAAATGTGCTTGTTTGAACTGGGCTGCTCTCATGTTGTCCCGTGTGCCGTCATCTATCGACCACCCAAGTACAATAAGGATTTTATAAGTGACTTTTCTGAATTTCTGGCCGAAATTCTGCCGAAATACAACCGTGTCCTTATTGTTGGTGATTTTAATATTCACATTTGTTGCCCTGAAGAGCTGGTCTCCAGGAGCTTTTTGAATCTCATTGACTCTTTTAACTTTGTGCAGTCGGTGTCCGGTTCCACACATAATCTCGGACACACACTAGACTTGGTGCTCTTGCACGGTCTGTGTGTTTCTAACCTTGACATTTGTGACGCTGTTTTCTCGGATCATGTTCCGATTTTATTTGACATCCCCACTCAGTGTCCGGTTAAATTGCGCGCTCCTCCTAAACCGCATCGCATGTTTAACTCTTCCTCGCTTGCTCTGTTCTCATCTACCATCGTTGGTCTCTGCGAGGATGACTCTGCAGCCCCTGTGTGTGTGAATACTGAGGAACTGGTATTGAGATTTCACTCCACCTGTCTACAAACACTGGACACGATCGCTCCTCTGAAGACCCGGCGCACCAAACCTACGCCCGAGCCCTGGTTGAACGACGTCACTCGTGCAGCCAGGCGTGAGTGCAGGAGGGCGGAGCGCAGGTGGAAAAAGGACAGACTGCATGTGTCTCTTGGCATCTTTAAAGATAGCCTTTGGAATTATCAGAAGATTGTGAAAGCTGAGAAGAATAAATATTTATCTGAATTAATTGCTTTTAACTGCAACAACCCCAGAGCTCTGTTCAAAACCATAAACACTGTCCTTGAGGCTCCCAAGTCTCTTGGTTTTGATGCCTCCACTGAAATCTGTGAAAAATTCCTCCACTTCTTCACTGATAAAATTATGTCAACCAGAGCCTGTATCTCTCAACCTTCGTATGACCCTTCACCCCCCCTGCACCCCTCATCTGTCTTTTCTACATTTGAATCTGTGTCCCTCTCTATTTTAAAGGACATAGTCGGCCATATGAAGCCTTCTTGTTCCCCTGCTGATGCCATCCCCCCTCGCTTGTTTAAAGAGGTACTTGCTACGATTGGACCAAGTGTACTTAATATTGTAAATAGTAGCCTCTCATCTGGTACAGTACCTAGGGATTTTAAACATGCTGTAGTACGACCTCTACTTAAAAAAACTGCCATCCCTCTGTGCCAGTTTCAGGCCCATCTCAAATCTTCCATATCTGTCCAAGATTCTAGAGAAGGTTGTCTACAACCAGTTGTTACCATTCTTGGAAGACAATGGTATCACAGAGTTGTTCCAGTCTGGTTTTAAAGCTCTCCACAGCACAGAGTCAGCACTTTTAAAGGTTTCAAACGATATTCTTACGTCAACAGACTCTGGAAAGTTTGTTGTCCTTGTGCTCCTGGATCTGTCTGCTGCATTTGACACTGTCGACCACAGCATTTTAATCTCTCGCCTGGAGCACTGTGTGGGCATTAAGGGTGTCGCCCTGGACTGGTTCCGGTCTTATTTAACGGACAGAAGTTTCTGCGTTCAAAATGACAACTCTGTGTCGTCAACAGCTCCTCTTCCACATGGGGTCCCCCAGGGCTCAATCCTCTGCCCTCTTTTATTTGCCTTTTATCTGCTCCCCCTTGGTCCTGTTTTTAGGAAACATGATATATCCTTTCATTTTTATGCCGATGATTGTCAGATCTATCTTCCACTAGCGCAGAACAACTCCGACTCAGTCCAACAACTTACTGACTGCCTTAAGGACATTAAAGCCTGGCTTTCTTTTAACTTCCTCAGTCTTAATGAGAACAAGACTGAAGTAATGTTGTTTGGACCAAGTGGCGGCCACCCCCCCAACATCGACCTAGGCTCCCTCTCACCCTACCTAAAGGAGGTCGTCACTAATCTGGGAGTTAAATTTGACCCTGATTTTAAATTTGAGAAGCAGATCAGCGGGGTGGTACAAAAAAGTTTTTATCAGCTACGTCAAATAGCGAAGGTGAAGCCCATTTTATCAAGACCTGACCTGGAAAAATTAATCCATGCTTTCATCACTACCCGTCTTGATTACTGTAACTCCTTGTATGTAGGGATTAGCCAGGCTTCCCTTGCCCGCCTGCAACTTGTGCAGAACTCTGCTGCATGTCTCCTGACCCAGACCCGCAGGCGTGAGCACATCACCCCCATCCTGGCGTCCTCACACTGGCTCCCTGTTCAGTACAGAATTCATTTTAAGCTTTTAATATTTGTTTTTATGGGCCTGAACAACCTTGCTCCACCCTATATTTCGGAGATGCTCCAGCCTTATTGCCCACCCTGACCCCTAAGATCAGCTGATCAGCTTTTACTGACGGTCCCCAGTACAAGGCTGAAGCTCAGAGGGGACAGAGCGTTTGCTGCTGCTGCCCCGAAGCTCTGAAATGAGTTGCCCTTGAAAATTAGACAGGCCTCCTCATTTCCTGTTTTTGAATCCCTTTTAAAAACGCACTTTTACTCATTGGCTTTTAGTACATTGTAGTGTTAATTTGTTTTTTATCATCTTAGCACTTGCCGTGAGCCTCCTTATTTATACACTTATTTATTATTTTGCATTAATGTATTTCTGCTTGCTTTATCTTGTTCTTTGTTTTATTTTCTTTTATGTGTCATTGTACAGCACTTTGGCTACCCTTGTGGTTCTTTTAAATGTGCTATAGAAATAAAGTTGATTGATTGATTGATTGATAGAGATGACATGACAACTCCAACTCCATGACATCTCATGACATCTTCATCATCCCTTACAGGATCAGCAAAGGTGTAGTGGACATTGTAAACAGTACACACACACACACGCAAAGAAAAAAAAAAAAAAGCCCACAGTGTGATATACAGTCAGTGGTATCGAGTCCACATTTTGTGATGTACTCTCAACTCTACAAAACGTTTCCCTCCTCAGCTTTCTTTGTGTCAGAGGCTAAATATGAGGAGTGGGGACATGTCATCTCAGAACCACGAATTCGTTCTTGTCAATCGCTGAACCAGCCGCTCACCTTCCTGACTGAACTTTAGTGGAAGAGAAGAACAGACACGTTGGCTTAGAAATGACATGACAACTCCAACACTCTCCAACCTCTGCTGACTATACAATTCAAACTTTGGTGTTGCACAACTGACAGAGTGATAGAGTCGTTTCACTCCATATGCGAGAGGTGCCGACTCGTGCCTCTGGAGCCCAGGCGTTGTCCTCTTTGCTCAGCCTCACCAAGCCTTGGACACTGCAGTAAGAAAAAGGAAAAAAAGTTGTATGATGAAGCAAGGCGTATTTTTTTTTTTTCCTTTCCATTTGTAAAACACTTTTTATGTACAAACACTTTCTTTCTGTTGGTGTTCAGACATCTTTACAATATTTTCTGATCTTAGAAATGAAAATAAATTAAAAAAAAAAACATCTGGGAAACCTTTGTGTCTCTTTCTTTCTTTCTCTCTCTGTCCATCCCTCACAGGATGGCCAGTCATGCAGAGGGCACTGTAAACAAAAAACAAAAACAAAAAGAAAACAATACACAGGCAGTGTAGAAAACACACACACACACACACACACACACACACACACACACACACATACATACATGCAATTCATGCCAGGTGGGTACACCCTAAAACAAATGTTCTTTGTCAAACATCCAGATCAAACGATTAAGATTGGACATAGATATTCCGACAATTAAAATTGCAATTAGCACAAAAATATACAATAGCATCAAGCTCTTTTGAGCCACTTCAAACCTATATGTATATATATATATATATATATATATATATATATATATATATATGTGTGTGTGTGTGTGTGTGTGTGTGTGTGTGTTTGACTGAAATGTGTGTGTTTGTGTGTGTAGACCTTGACACAGACAGATTGAAACACAGAATTATACAGAAGCTAGTACAGTCAGTGATATCGAGTCCACATTTTATGATGTACTCTCAACTCTATCAAACGTTTTTCCCTGGCTTAGAGATGACGGGACAACTCCAACACTCTCCAACCTCTGCCGATTATACAATTTAAACTTTGCTGTTGTACAACTGACAGAGTGATAGAGTCGTTTTCACTTCATATGCGTGGGGGGTGCCAACTCTTACCTCTAGAGCCCAGGCATTGTACTCTTCGCTCAGGATCAGGAGAGCGCTTTTTTCCTCTCCGTTGATCCACAGACAAACCTCGATGCTGTGTTTTATGGTTTTTATACTCACCTGTTTTTTTTTGGTTGTTTTTTATACTCACCTTCAGTGTTTCCCTCATTGTCCTCGCTCAGCTGCAGTCTGCTTCTTTGTCCCTTGTCGGGATCGTCTTCGGCTGTAGCCACAGAGGCCAGCCCCTTTCGGGGAGAGTTCTTTTTGTTGTTCCTCTCCGTTGATTTGCAGAAGAATCCTCGATCCTGCGTTTCCATCCATGCACTACACGCTAGGTGCAATCGTGCGCCTTTTTCCCTCGTCGAGATAGTCTCCGGCTGTAGCCGCAGAGGCCAGCCGGCTCCAGGAGAGTGCTATTTGTTGCTCCTCTCAGTTGATTCGCAGACCAATCCTCGACCCTGTGTTTTATGTTTTTTATACTCACCTGTTTTTATCCGTTGTTTTTTTTCATACTCACCTTCGGCAATTTCCCTCGTCGAGATCGTCTTCGGCTGTAGCCGCAGAGGCCAGCTGCTCTCGGGGAGAGCGCTTTTTGTTGCTCCTCTCCTTGTGAATCCTCCATCCTGTGTTTTTGGTTTTCTTCATACTCACCCCTGTCGTCCGTCCTTCCTCAGACGAATCCTCGATCCTGTGTTTTTGTTTTTTGTTTTTTCAAACAACTGCACAATTCAGTGGTAGTGGAGAGTGAGGGGGATCATTGAGCCAAAAAGCAAGAAGTTTCAACCTCCCCATATTTCTGACGAGACATCCATTTCACTCGGCCTGCAAAGAAGAGAGAGAAATGTGGCTTAGGGGATACAGAGCTATTATCGAGATCCCCTTGATTTAAAAGCCAGAGGGTAAGAAGGAAAACAAAAAGGAAAAGCATATAACTATATATATGTACATATATATATATATATATATATATATATATATATATATATATATATATATATATATATAGATAGATAGATAGATAGATAGATAGATAGATAGATAGATAGATAGATAGATTACTTACTTTATTCTCTCCTCTACGGTCCTTTTTGTTGATGTGGTCAAGACTGCTTCAAGTTTCTTTCTCTTGCTTCTCTCTGTTGATCCAGTGCCCGTACTGCGGAAAGAGTCTGTGCAACAGAGGAATACAGCGGTGGTTTTCAATCAAACTTACTCTAGTCTCTTCTCTAGGGTCCTTTTTGTTGGTGTTCAACACTTTTGAGAAAACGTTTCTGTTCCCCTGTTAGGCGACAATGGAAAGCAGCGCCCCTGTGAAGGGAACAGACCAAGTAACTGCACGTTGAGGGGGAGTAGGGAGAAAGACAAAGAGAGACAGAGAGAGAGAGAGAGAGAGAGAGAGAGAGGGAGAGAAACAAACTACATTCTTTGACTGGATATCTGAGTTGATCTCAAATCCAAACAGATTTTTTTTTCTAGGAATGCACAATATCCTACACTACTACGCGTTCACATTTTTAGTTGGAGCTAGTACAGCCATTCCCTTGCTTTAGAAGCACACAGAGTAAGAAGATGAACAAAAACAAAACGCAAATATATTTATATCTTTACATAGATAGATAGATAGATAGATAGATATAGAGTACTTACTGTACTCTAGTCTCTCCTCTATGGTCCTTTTTGTTGGTGTTCAACACTTGAGAGAAAACTTTTCTGTTTACCTGTTAGGCAACAATGGAAAGCAGCGCCCCTGTGAAGGGAGCAGACCAAGTAAACGCAAACTGAGGGGGAGGAGGGAGAAAGATGGACCGAGAGAGGGAGAGAGAGAGAGATAAACAAATTAAATTTTTTGACTGGATGTCTGAGTTGATCTCAAATCCAAACAGATTTTGTTTTTCTAGGAATTCACAATGCGCGCTGGAACGTCAGGAGTCATGAGTTCAAATTTGTAAAAAAAAGTCTATGTACACCAAGGTGGGGTATATTTGACCCTGCTGAGTGCAGGGCGTGAGTGTACGATTCTCGAATCCATACTTGACAGGGTCTATTCGAACCAGGCAGGAAAACAATCAGGAGTCATGGGTTATCTTAGTCCACGCTGACTAGAGGCTAAATTGACCCCACTAGGGCAAGGGTATACTGACTGGGTCTTTTTGACCCTGAAGGGCAGCACAAGGGTTAAAATAATACGAGGCATGGCAGAGGGAGGTGTCGACAGAATCAGCTGCCACAGTGACATTTTCGTGCTCGCCAGTGGCGTATAAAGTGTGCTGAAAGCTCGCTGAATCAAACCCAGTCAGCTTTCGGCACAGGCGGAGCGCAGCTGGTTTAGTGGTATTTTGGTAGACCGGCAGTCAGTGTTAATTTTGTTGACGAAAAATGTTCGTCATAGTCATCGTCAACGACCTTTTTTTTCTGACTAAAACGAGACGATAACTTGATAAAAAGTAATTCACAAGGCCTAAGACGATAACGAAGTGTATTGACATGTTTGTCAACGAATAAAAACGAGACGAAAATGTCTGCCAGAGACGTGATCCAATCAGAGCTCATTTTGTTTGTGGAAGGAAATGACGATTTTAGAAAGAGGCGGGAGGAGTTGGGAGGGAGAACCAATCAGAGCGACGTGGTTAGGATGTTTGAGACCGAGCCTGGCAAAGGCGAAATGTCCCCGCGCTCCTCGTCGTGCTCAGCTGAAAATGTCAACAACAGCAGGGAGGAAGAGGCGTCAGGATGTGTGGACGCACTTTACTTTCGATTTAAAGGACAACAAAACACTTTGCAAAAACTGTGGAGGAAAAAAAAAAAACGGGAAAAACACAACGAATCTGAAGAGGCACCTGGAGTCGAGCCACCATGATATATACGCTCAGGTAAGCATGAATGAATGAATGGATGAAACCTGCTCCATAACGTTAACGTAACGTTACATTTTGTCGGGTTTATTTTCCCACAACATACGTGAACTCACTCACTAGCCTGGTTATTTTTTTGCTCTTTTGTTAAACCCACACCGCCATGTGCATTTTCTTTCAACGGGGGCTCTCTGATAAATCAATCTCGTTAATTATCATTTAACGTTACGGTGCGGGTCGTCGGGGGCGATACCAATACACCACTGCTGTTCTGTTAAGCTAAAGGTACCTGCTGGCTGCTGATTTAAATGCATATAATTCATTTAACTATTTTGTTGGTGTTAAAAATGAACTCTACCGTCCTTTTTTCTTCATCACAGCTACAGAAGACTTCAGGTGACCTCGATGGGCCACACGGTGCCAAGAAAAAGAAAGGAACTCAGCCTAACATTTCAGAAGCCATTTTCAGGACTGCAAAGTACAAACCTAACTCTAAAGAGCAGCAGAGTAAAGAGGAGGCTATAGCAAAATGGATTGGATGCACAGGGCTCCCAGTTACTACAGTCGAAGATGAGGACTTCATTTGTATGATGGAGGCAATAGATCAGAAACTGACTATTCCCAAAAAGACAAAAATGAGTAATCTCATTGACAAACTTTATGACACTGAACTGCAAAAATTCAAAAAGAGATTGGCTGTTGCACGGAAAGTATCAATTGGAATTGATCTGTGGACAAAAAAAGGACTGACTTCTTCCTTCCTGGCTATAAGTTCATGATATTTTTGTGTTGAACTACAGAAGCCACAACACATATTGCTGGCCCTGGAACAAGTGGCCCATCCACACACTGCACTAACAATCAAAGCATGTGTCGATAAGTGTATGCAAGAGTGGGGCATATCACAAGAGAAGATCATCACAGTAATAACAGACAATGGAAGTAATATGGTGGCAGCTTTCAAACCCATCACACCAGAGGGAGAAGAGACCAGGGGCCTCATGTATCAACACTTGCGTGGAACTCATACCAGAAACGAGCGCACGCAAGGTCCGTCACGCTGAAAAAAATCCGTATGTATCAATGTGTGCGGGCGCCGAAATCCACGTGTGTTTCCTTGATAAATCCCAATCAGCGTGGAATTGAGCGCAGATGTCGGAGTGACTGGGCCCGTCCCCGTTACGCCCTCCTATAAATATGCAGATTTATTTAAATGGGGTCTCCCTGTCCTCGCACGCAGACAAAATGACAAGAAAAACTAAATTTACGGCGTGCGAGGTGGAGGTGCTGGTGGCGGAGGTGGAGGAGCGACAGCGTGTTTTATTTGGCAGCCTGTCCAGTGGCGTCAGTGCAAAACGAAAATGCTTGGAGTGGGAGAAAGTTTGCGAGAGGGTGAATGCGGTGGGTTCCGAGACACGCATCCCCGCGGAGATTAAAAAAGTGGTCGGACCTCAAGGTGGAGGTCAAGCGGCGTACAGCTGCCCTCCGGAGGAGTACTGGCCAGACAGGTGGGGGTCCGGGGGAGGAGACCCTCACACCGTTTGAGCAGCGGGTGGTGGCGATTATTATTATAGGGTAAGTGGCGTGTCACACAAATGTCCACATGCTTTGTCATCCCACTGAGCAAAAGACGTATATTAGACGTCTAGTCTAAGTTTATACTTCATTTCAACGTCGGGATTCAGTCTATTTTTAGACGTGATTTAAACTTCATTTTTCGATAACTTTTTATGCAATAAACAACTGTAATGTGCATAACTGACCTCTAAATACTGGATTACATTACCTATGATACCGTGGAGAGAGATGTAAACGCAACAGATACACAGAAGCAGGAATTGAAATGAACAAATATTTTTATTGTGTCACAGAAATCAATTTGTCGGCCGTGTCGCCGGCTTGCGGAACCCCGGCCCGCGGCAGCCCGTCCGCCGGCTCGGAGTCGTCGGCCAGGACCAGCGGCATTCGGGCCACTCCGGCCCCTGGCCCCAGCACCAGCATCAGCACCAGCGCGCCGACAAGCGGTGGAGCGTCCACCAGCCGCGGCGCCTCCGCTGTACCACCCGGACGCAGTGGAAGGGTCCTCGCGGAGGGGGTCCTGCAATCGCAGGAAGAAATCATCAGGGGGATCGCGGGGATCAACGAGCGGCTGGACCGGCTCGTAAATGTCCTCGAGCGTCTGGTGGAGAAAATAAATTCATTTGGCTCATTGAACTGTGTATTCACTTCTTACCCATTCACACTGTGGCGATGAGATTCTCCCGCGCGAGGACGGCGGCCTGGCAGGGATCAGCTCGCATCCCTCCGTCTGCTGCTTGTTCGTCATGTGGGGCGACGTGCTGCTCGGCCACGGGGATGTGGTGCACGCTTGTCACATAGTGAGTCACCAAACACCGCCACACAGCGTCGCCAAAGTGCGAATCACAGTCAACGCAAGTATCAGCTCAATGCCAATTTCTACACCACCTCCTGACTTTGCGTTGATTAGCGCTGGAACCGACGCTCGTTTCGCGATGATAAATCTGGACGTGTGCGCCGATTTTGGCGTACGCAAGGTTTTCTTGCGCCGCAAGCGTTGATACATGATGCCCCAGCTCTGAGGATTCTGAACCAGAACACACCCCCATGGCTGAAAGTGATTCTGAGACAGAAGAGGATCAGCGGTGAGTCATTAAAAAAACAGATCATAGTAATTTTCATTATTATGAATATGCCTTTTAAATAGAGAATTTTTTAATAATAGTTGTACATATTTATGTGCTTTCTTGTAGATGCCATACCAATGATGTGGATTTAAAACGGACGCCGTGTGTGGTGCACACATTGCAGCTTGTGGTCCACATGACACAGAAGGAGGCAGGTGTCAAAAGAGTCCTGGACAAAGCAAGGTCAATTGTGAAGCTGTTCCGTAAGTCCTCAGTTGCAACACAGAAAATACTCGATGAATGTGGCCTTATACTGGTAAATGACTGCCCAACACGCTGGTCAAGCACATTTTCCATGGTGGCTAGACTCCTGAAAGTGAAAGATGCAGTGTGCCAGGTCGCCAACGATATGGGGTGGGACAGCTTGCTTCCCAGTGAATGGCAAAAGCTGAGGTCTTTACATGAACTACTGCTGCCTTTTGCGGAACACACACAAACCCTTCAGAGTGACACAATGTCAATGTCCCTGGTGATCCCTGCCATCTTTGATCTGCTCAGCCACCTTGCTGACTTTGAAGAGAAAACAAGTCACAGAGATCTTGCTGCTCTTGCCTTGAAAATGAAAAGAAATATGAATCAGCGCTTTGCTTGGGTATTTGATCCAAATGATGAAAAGTTCTCACCACTTGTGGCAGCTGCCTGCTTTGTCAACCCAACTGTGTGCGAAACCCTACTTGATGATGACGACAGCATTCAGCAACTGCTGAAACAGGTTGAGGAGTATGTGGCTCTGGCCCAGTCCACTCATTTACACCGACAACATGACGGCCAGCCTGAAGATGAGGAAGAGGGGAATGGGAAGGAACCAGAGGAACCAGAAGCAGCACAACCCTCCTCTTCAAAGCAGCCAGTCTTCAGGTTTTTTTCAAAGTCTCGCATGAAGTCTAAACTGCGGACCCCCTCCACAACAAGGAGCATGAAACAGCAGATCAGAAAGTACAAAGAAGAGCTTTCACACCCAATCACCTGTGACACAGCAATAGGATTCTGGATGGAAAAAAGTGATGCTTTTTATCACAGCTTAAAACCTCTTGCCCTGGACTTGTTGGCTATGCCAGCTTCCCAAGCTTTTGCTGAGAGGGTTTTCAGCATCACAGGTGACCTCACTAGAGGCAAGCGCAACAGAGCAAAGGTCATGTTGGCACGAAGTGCTTTTCTTAAAATGAACAGAGCCAAATAGATCTGTGAATTGCACACACCACACCACACCACTTATGCACAATGCACATTTGATCACTTTATTGATTTTTTTTGTTGTTGTTGTGATCAATGCTAATAGCTGCATATAACTTCATTGTTATTATTTTGAAGTTCCTGCTCCCACTGATAGCCTTTTGGAATGTTGTTTTGAAACATTTTATTCATGTTTAAATCCAGTGTTTACAGTTTTGGCTGCCTCTGATAGCCTTTTTGAATGTTTTAATACATTTTATTAATGTTTAAATCCAATGTTTACAGTTTTGGCTGCCTCTGATAGCCTTTTTGAATGTTTTAAAACATTTTATTAATGTTTAAATCCAAAGTTTACAGTTTTGGCTGCCTTTTTGAATGTTTTGAAACATAAATAAAATGAATTACAAGTGGAATCTGTCTGTGTGTGAATTGAACAGTTGTTCTTTAACACAGGTTTATTGTTGTAAAGGTAATGACTTTCAGAAAATGTACATATTATTACCCTTTACACACTTTTTAGTTGACTAAATCTATTGTAATTTTCATCGACTAAAACTCTTGTGATATTAGTCGACTAAAACTAGACTAAACTAAAAAGATTTCAGATGACTAAAATATGACTAAAACTAAGTAGTGTTTTAGTCAAAAGACTAAGACTAAAACTAAATCAGAATTTGTTGTCAAAATTAACACTGCCGGCAGTATATCGGCATATGTCACCGATGCCTCACCGGCAGGTTTCCACAGTGTCAGGCACATTTCAGTGCAATAAATAATCATCAACAACTAATATCTGAGTGAGCATATACATTTAGATCTTTTCTTTCTTCCTCTTCCTCTTATTTCTCATGCAGCTCGACCTGGACATGTCTCCGTGTTCTCTCCCTGTCCTGCTGCAGCTGCAGAACAGATGATTTGTTTCAGTGATCAGATGAGTTATTTACTTTAAGCCTACATACGAATATTATAATATTCAGTTTTGTGAGCCAAATTTATTTTATATGCCAACATCTAGGAAAGAAAGAGCCAGGCCATGGAGCATGATGCATCCTTTACGCACAGATGGTTCAGATTTTAATGCCATTATTGGAATTTATGATGTGATCTCTGCGCACAACCCACCTTTGATAGACATCTGTAGTAAGATGCTGCAGATGTTTTATCAGTCTGTGGTGCCAAGTGTGCTGTTCTACGCTGCAGTCTGCTGGGGGGGAAGCATCAAACACAAAGATGCAAGACGTCTTAACAAACTGGTAAAAAAGGCTGGCTCAGTGGTAGGACTGAAGCTGGACTCAGTGGAGGATGTGGTGGAGAGATCTACACTGAGGAAGGTGGAGACTATTCTCAAGAACATGGATCACCCACTTCACAACACCTTGATGGACCAAAGGGCAAATGGTGGTGGACGGCTCCTCTCTCTCCGCCGCAGGACAGAAAGATTTAGAAGATCTTTTACCAACAGCCATCAGGCTTTATAACTCTCATGTAAATAATAGATACCTTTTATAGACATATTACGTGAGACAACAGACAATTGAATTTCGTCATCTTCTTCTTTGTCATGTGAGGTTTGAATATGTGCAACTTTATGTGAGTGTCTTTATTTGTGGAAAGGGTGTTTGTCTTACTAGTCCAACATTACACACACAAACTCCATCTGTGCTCATATGAGACAGTGTGCAGGACACCCTCTGCTGCGCTTACAGTGACACTTGTTGAGAAGCTGCCTTCTGTCGCCATCGTGTGGCATTGCTGTCTTCAGACATCTCTGGATCTCTTTGACTACTTCACGAAAATAGTAATATGCCTCGCCGGTGGCGGATTTAAAGGCGAGGAAAGGAGCTGAAGTTATTGGTCAATACAGGTCTTGGCTGTGTTAAACCCACTTTACGCCCTCTCTCCTCCCTCGCTACGACTTACGCCGCTGGGAGGAGCTGAGTTAGGGAGGGGTATACTTACGCCGGGCTGCGCTGCTCACCAAATTACCAAATTGTGCTTGGGAACGCCTTGTCGGCGAGGCGAACCTGACTTACGCTGTGCCTGTGTCACATCTCCGGCGAAGCACGAAAATAGAGCCCATGCTGGTTATGCTGTTGTTAATGAACACTCTACTTTTAAATCCTCTCCCCTGCCTTCTCATTACTCAGCACAGTCGACAGAGCTAGTGGCCTTGACAGAAGCTTGCAAACTGGCTAAAGGTAAAATGGGTTGAAGCTTTTCCTGGCAAGCATGCAACTCCCTCAGTAGTAGAGAAAGCCCTACATACAGCCCTACATCTGATCCAATTCACTTCCGGTGGGTGGACGCTGGCATGTATGTTGCCGCTGCTCACCGGCAGAAAAAGTCGTGTATATCTTGTTTTTTATCGCTTTTATGGCCCGTGATTCTACGTGAGAAGCCGACTGTCCATTTCCCTGCCTGCGACAGCCAAAACAGTTTCTCTCCCACAAATAACTCCGGCACTTTTGTCCACAAGTGCACGGGCTAAGCCCCGGCTGCTAATGCTAACCGGCTGTCAAAACGCCGGCTTTCAAAAGCTTGCCGGTTCCTTCCCCGTCATGTGGCCCAACAATGGGCTCATCTGGATACTGCTGTCTCTCTACCATCATCCTGTGGCTGGACTACACCAATACCCTGTCGCCGACCTTTTTCGGATTTCTCCGCCGCCGGAGCTGCATCATCACCCGGACATCACCCGAGTACCTCGCCGGCACTACATCCACCGTGGGTCCCGCAGACACGTCCAGCATTGTGGCTCCAGCACTATCAATGCTACACGATCTACCTCTCGTCGCCCCTCCAGAAACTCCGGCCGTGCCGTCAACCACAGCTCACTAGCCCGCTTAGCTAGGTCGGCTAACGCTACTGCTATCAAACATGACACCTCCGCTGTCAACTTCGGTTCCCTGAACATCCGCTCACTCACGAGCAAAGGTCATCCCGTCCAAGATCTCCTCATCGACCGTAAACTCGACTTTCTCTTTTTAACTGAAACCTGGCAACAACCCACTGACTTCTCTGCTGTCAATGATTCCACTCCTCCCAGCTTTGTTTACATCAGCCGTCCCCGTGGAGGTCTCGCGGTAATTCGCAGTGAGAAGTGGAAAGTCCTGCCGATCTCCATTCCTGCATTCAACTCATTTGAATGCCTTGTTTTTAAGCTTCCTGGTCCTACACCTACCATCATCGCGACAGTTTACCGCCCCCCCCAAGACTCATGGTGACTTTATTGGAGGTCTCTCTACTCTTCTCACGGATCTATCAACTCTATCACCAAATTTAATTCTGCTGGGTGATATTTCAACATTCACATGGACAATCCCAACCTGCCTCTCACTAGAGACTTTGCATCCTGCCTGGACAGTTTTGGAATTAAACCCCACATCGATTTCCCCACCCACATCAAAGGTCACACCCTGGACTTGGTCTGCTGCTCCGGTCTCACCCCATCCAAGCCCACTGCAGATGTCTTCCCGCTATCTGACCACTTGCTCCTCACTTTTAAGGCTGTCCTCTGCCTCTCCACCATCAAATCCCCCCGTCTCATCTCCTTTCGCAACATCAAGGACATTAACATCAACACCCTGCGCTCCACTTTTGACAGTTTTCCGATCCCAGACTCTCCCTCAAACCCTGATGAACTGGTCTCCTTTTACAACACTTGCCTCACAAGCACTCTGAACTCTCTTGCCCCCTGAAAACCCGGTCTGTGTCATTTTCTGCCTCTGCCCCCAGTTTACTCCCGAGCTCAGGACCATGAAATCCCAAAACCGACAGCTTGAGCGACTCTACAAATGCACCGGTCTCATGATCCATAAGGACATGTACACCACTCACATCACACAATATAAGGACCTAATCTCTCAAACCAAATCCAACTACTACTCCAGCCTCATTCTCTCCAATGAAGGAAACACAAAATCTCTCTTCTCTGTCTTGAACAAAATCCTCCAGCCATCAAACTCTCTACCCCCCACCTGTACTCTTCTGAAACCTGCAATTCCATAATGGACTTCTTCAACCAAAAGATCCACAACATTCACCAGCAATTGCACCATAACCAGCCTCCTCTCCCCCGACCTGAACCTCCTCTTCCCTGCCACCTTTTCTCCAGTTTTCTTCTCCCCACTACCACCGATATCTCAGACCTCATCCACAAATCAAACCCCACCATGTCAGCTCGATCCCCTCCCCTCGACCTTATTTATATCCTGCTTTTCCTCCCTGCTCCCCCTCATATCCTCTATCATCCACTCCTCTCTTTCGTCTGGAATAGTTCCCTCAGCTTTCAAAACTGCCGCTGTCACCCCCATACCAAAGAAACCTGGATCAGACCCCAACAACTATGATAACCTCCGCTCCATCTCCAACTTACCATTCCTTTCCAAAATCCTGGAAAAAACTGTCGCCACTCAACTCCATCGTCACCTATCCCTTAACTCTCTTTACGAACCGTTCCAATCAGGATTCCGCCCCCGCCATAGTACAGAAACTGCATTACTCCATATAACAAATGACCTCCTCATCGCAGCTGACTCCGGTTCCATTTCCATCCTCATCCTCCTCGATCTGAGTGCAGCCTTCGACACCATTTCTCACCCCATCCTCCTCAGCAGACTCTCCTCCATTGGCCTCTCTGACACCCCCCTCAGCTGGTTTCATTCATACCTCACAGGCCGCACTCAGTTCGTACAGCTTAAATCATTCGCATCTAAACCCTCCCCAGTCACCTCAGGTGTGCCCCAGGGATCTGTCCTGGGGCCCCTTCTCTTCATCATCTACCTCCTCCTCCTCGGCCACATCCTCCGCAAATTCAACATCCATTTCCACTGCTACACGGATGACACCCAGCTCTACCTCTCCTACGTCCTCACTACCACCCCCCTCCCTCACCTCTTGTCTCACTGAATTAAACTTTCTCAAACTAAACTTCAATAAAACTGAAATCCTCCTCCTTGGCACAAAATCCACCCTCTCCAAAATCGCACGAATCGCACTGATAACAATGGGCTTCAAACTGTGTTGAATGAGGTGATCGATTGGGTCACACAACACCCACCTAAAGAAAAAGAGATCCCCAAAGCTTTAGCACGCTTGGCTTGTGTGATGTCTGTCCAAATTAAGAGACAAGACGAAGCCATGGGGAGGGCCCAAGAACAAATACGGGCACAAATGAAGGAAATTGATGATCTCAAAGAGGAGCTGGGAGGCACTGAAAGGGCTCTACAGCAAGCTCGAGACCGTTTGGATGAGATGCAAGCAGAGCCTCCATCCCAACGTGATCAAGACCCTTCCTTAGTAACCCAAATCTCAGATTTGCATGACACCATTGAGGAAAAGGAAGCTCAGCTTTCGGACGCTAGGTCCACCGTTCTTGAACAATTACAGGAGTTGTCAAGAGTGAAAAGCAACCTAGATCAGTCCTCAACTGATGCAAAGGACTTGAAGGCCCAATTTGAAAGCAAAAGGGTGGCCCTCGAAGCTGAAGAGAGACATTCTGCTAATCTAAAGCAAATGCTCCTCGAGACTCAGAGGAAACTTAGTCTGGGTCAACCCCAGCAAGATCAGAGCGGGTGAAGCTCGCCAAGCAGTCAACAGACGCTCCCATTCCCTACCTTTCGACCGAGTCGTGTCCCCAGAGGACATTCAGGTCGATCAAGTCCGGATGACACCAGACGGAACTCGGGTCATACTTTGTCGCCCCTTCCCCAACCAACACCTTCCGGGTATCGTTCCCGAGTTACCAACCTCAGTCCACGCCTGCTGCTCGTCAAGCGGCATATCCCACAGACAGGGATCTGGACAAGATGGCTCGTAACATCACACGATTTGAACCCGGTCGAAAAGGTTCAGAAGACCCAAGCACCTACTTGAAAGACATCGACTTCTGCTTGAGGAAGTTTCCAGGTGCTCTTGTGGATGACAAAATCTACTTGATCAAAGCTACCTCCAATCGAGAGGTTAGCAGCTTCATTGAACAAGACCGCTTCGGGTCAAGAACGACTATGACCTGCTGTGTCAGGCATTAATTGACTAGTTCTCTGACTCCCTTACACCCACTGGTTTAGCTGCTGCACTGTTAGTCAAACAGGAGAGACAGGAATCTCCCCAGTCGTACTACAGTCGCCTTCACCAGGCTTACTTTGGTTGTCAAAATGAACCTGAAATGGAGGAAGATCTAAACTTTAAGACTTTGTTTGTTCAAAACCTCCATCCGACCACGAGTCATCATCTTGGTGTTGCTGCTTGTCCCGGAACCTTATACAGCAGACAGCTCTGCAAACTGGCTGTAAAAGGCTTCGCTAAACAGCGACACACCCAATCTAAGAAAGCTGAACCTGGTACTGTCTTGGCTGTGGACACAAGGTCTATGCCCCTAGATCTGGAGGGCGGTGCCGTGGGTGCGCATTCAGATGCACCTCAAACTGCAACAGCCCGACCAACCCAGAATCTGAAAACTTCCCGATATCAGCCAGCTGATAAAGGTCAAATCCTGAAGCAGCCTCGGTCTGACAGTGAACAACACCAGGTCAGATTTGACGAAGATCGTCCACCCTCGTACTCTCGCAGGGATGGGGCTCACCCTAGAAGGGATGACACCCATCGGCCCTACCGACCTGACAACAGGGGGTGGAGAGACCGGTCAGATTGTTATGGCCCACGCCGAGAACGAAACTCAGAGCGACCTTACCCGCAGTCTCAGTCAGCACTTTCTGACGAAGAGATGGGTACAAAGGCTAAATCAGACCCTCCCCAGAAGGGTAGTGGATCTAAAGGTGGATCTAAGGGTGAATCAAAGTCCTCTGATCTGACAGAGGAAGAATGCAAACTCCTTAGACAAATAATCCGTAGAATACAGAGAAAAGGAGATAAGAAAGCAGATCTCTTCTCTGTCGCTGTCACCGCCGTCCAGGATGACACTTTTGAGCCAAACATGATGCCTGTCCAGCAGACTGCAGTTCAGGAGGACGTGTGTATGTCCTTACAGGAGTCGGTGACACCGTCACCAGCTGACACTCCTGTCGATCTTGAACCTCAGGACAACACATCACAAGAAACGACATCTACCAGCGCCGTCTTGGTAGTACAGGCGAACTCCACAGAGGAGCCAGCCGAAGAAGACTCCTCACTTATTCGGCTTGAACCACCTTTCCTCCAATTCTTGTGCAAGCTCACTGAGAAGGGCATCGCACAGAAGTTTTACGTTAATACCGTCCTTGAAAATGAACTTCAACACGAAGCACTCTTAGACACTGCTGCTGACATCACTCTGATGTCCTCCACGCTCTTTAACCGCTTGCGCAATATGGTGCAGCAGTCCAACAGGGACATCAAGCTGCAGCCCTGCGCCATGGAGATTCGGCCGTACTCCACAGACAGTACGACCTTAAAAACAATGACGATGTTGAACATCTCCATTGAACCAATGAAAATCATGCACCCCGTGTATGTATCACCCCTTGAATCGATTCCTTTCCTCATCAGTCAAGACCTTTTAAAACGGTTTGAGCCCCTGATCGATTATTGACAGCTGAAAATATGGGCACAGGTCCGCAGACCATTACCCATACCAGCAACCGACAAGAATCGGGCTCAGTGTTACGCCCTGACACGTGAACTTGCTACACGCCCGGGCCATTTATCACTGAGGGCATTAACTTGAATGAGAATCACGTCAACGATGTGATTTTGGCTCTTTGGGCTGACAAATCAGCCATCAGCCGTGAACTGTACGACGCCTTATCTAGGGATGACCCGAACCTCCAGTGTGTTCGGAAAGCATTTCGCTTCCCCTTGGACTCCCTTCCTAAAGCTACCATGACTGCTGAAGGCGTCTGTGCCTTAACTGTGCGATGGAACAAAAGGGAGATGACTCACCACTTCCTGGTCATCCCAGACCTACCACATCAGGTCTACATGGGAAGTGATATACTGGTCAGGTTGGCAGTCCAGGTCGATACCATTAACAACATACTATGGTCCCTTACCAGTGTTAATGAGGAAACCCAGACTCCTGATGTCGACAACATCATATCAGGACAGTCGATCCCTGAAGCCTGTCAGGTAGCCAATGAACTTGACATTGTCATACCTGCAATGACCACAAACGTTCCCATTCGCTTGAACCTACAACTTGGACAAAAGCTGTCGCACACTCAAGCTTTCTTCCAGCCGTCGTTGCTCTTTCTTAAACTAGGGAAGATACATCAGAAGATGTCCTGATCCCTAAATCCACCCCGCTGGGTTGGTTGATCAGCACGTCGTTCCATGACTTTGAATTGAGGATTCCTGTAATAGGAAAAATGCCCCGTTCTCTGATGTCAGACCATTCGCCGGAACAGGTCTTTCATACCCTACCTTCCAGGGCTATCTCGCTCTTTCCAACTGTACCGCTGGACCACGACACCATCTGTCAGGTCGACCTCTCTGAGGACTCACAGATGGTTCTGCACCAAGTGCAAGTCCTAAACGTCAGTTCGGAGCCAGAAATGGCCCATACACTTTCCGGTGTAGAACCCTCTATCTTCCCAACCGGGCAAACACCGGAGCACGATCCAGACTTTGACGCCAAAGTCGAACAGCTCGTAGCTGAGGCAGATGCCCTGAACGGCGAAGAGGAGCGTGAAAAGCTTCGCAAACTTCTGCACAAATATCGAGCCTCTTTCGCAAAAGACTCGCTTGACTGTGGCTTAACCTCTATCCACTCTATCCGCATTCCGACACCACCGGATGCACCACCAACGTTTGTACGCCAGTACAAAATTCCCTTAGCGTCCTATGAACCTATTCAGGAAATCATAGACAATCTTTTGGCGAAAGGGATCATTCGGCCATGTAACAGTACCTACTCAGCCCCACTCTGGCCGGTACTGAAACCAAACGGTAAATGGCGACTGACCATCGATTACCACAAACTGAGCCAACAAGTTCCCCTTTCCAGGTGGCCTATGGCTCAGCTCCAACAGGATCTGCCAAAGATCACTGACGCAAGATACTTCTCCACTCTTGACGTGGCATCAGGGTTCTGGGCGATACCAGTACAGGAAGCTGACCAGCACAAACTGGCGTTCACTTTTGCCAACAGGCAGTACACCTTCACCCGATGCCCTTTCGGCTATGCCAACTCGCCAGCAGAGTTCAACATCTTTCTTAACAAAGCCTGCCCAGACGCTAGTGAGAGAGGCACCCTCATATATGTCGATGACATCTTAATGAGGAGCCAAACCCTGGACATGCATCTCGCTGAGATTGACCATGTCCTGAACCAGCTCACGAACGCCGGGGCAAAGATATCTCTGTCGAAATGTCAGTGGTGTAGGACCAAGGTGAACTACGTCGGTTTGCTTGTTGGTCCAACAGGTGTCGAACCACAGCTGAGTCGGATCCAAGGACTGTCAAACCTTAAAGCTCCCACAAACATCTCAGAGCTTCGCAGCTTTTTGGGAGTATGCAACTACTCCCGACAGTTCATTGAGGACTATGCAGACTTAGCAAAACCCCTCACCAACTTACTGAAAAAGGATGTGCCATTCACTTGGGGACCGTCCCAACAACACGCCATGCAAGCTTTAAAAGACAGACTCTGTGCAGCTCCTTGTCTTGCCTACCCAGACTGCAACAGACCGTTCTATCTGGAGGTCGGCTTCTCTTGTCACTGCCTCAGTGCAGGATTATACCAGATCCATAACACAGATAAACGAGTCGTCGCGTGCGCTAGCAAAACCTTGTTGGCTCCTGAACTGAAGTTCTCGGACTGCGAAAAGCGCTTCTCGCCACGGTGTGGGCTGTGAAGCATTTTTCCAATTATCTTGGAGGCCAAAAGGTGATTGTGGAAACCAATCATCAACCAGTGACCTTCCTTAACAGCCAGAGAATCAGAGATGGCGTTGTAACCAACGCTCGTGTAGCGTCTTGGCTTATGGCCTTTCAGAGCTTCGACATCGAGGTCCACTACGCCCAAAATCGTAAAACACCTCTCGGGATGGAACTCGCAGCGTGCCAAAGCTGCTTGACAGACAGCGCGGACACAGGGTCCCCAACCTGCGACCCCGAGCCACCTGAATTATCTTGCCACCGGTACTTCGACGACAATGTCTGCAAAGACATGATTACAGCTTATGTTGATGGTTGCTCATACCATCACGACACTGTTCTCCGAGCAGGCGTGGGTGTTGTCTGGGTCAACGACAACCGTGTGAACCACTCAGCTTCAACCTAGGGGCCCAAACGTCTCAGTATGCTGAAGTGGCAGGCATTCTAATTGTTTTGCAACTTGCGGTGGAACACAAAATCCACGCCTTAACGATCTGTACAGATTCCAACTATGCACGACTCAGCTTCTCATGCCATCAGCCTTTGTGGAAACGCAACGGTTTCTTGACTTCGAACAGAAAGCCGGTCAAACACAAAGATCTGTTCCTGGCGTGCGACTTCTTGACCTCTAACCATGATCTCCAGATCTACTGGAAGAAAGTCAGGGGGCACTCTCGTATTCCTGGTCCAGACAAGACGTTTAATGACCAGGCTGACTCCTTAGCCAAACAGGGGGCCTTAACTGGCTCAGACTGGCACTTTGAGCCCTCTGTTTTTCCCCTCCCACCCGTGCCCCTGGTTTGTGCTGTCACCAGAGCCCAGTCTCGAGCTCCACCCCGCCTGGCTCCCTCGGGCCCGGTCTCCGCCACTGTGGCTCCGGCTTTTTCTGACTCTGACTTGCTAGCGCTCCAAGCTTCGGACCCAGCCATTGTTGCCATGACGCAGTTCCTTTCAGGGCCTCCTGACTCCTCCATGCCTCCTGACTTGTTTGACTCCATCCCTGGCCTGCACCATCTTTTCCGCGTGCGCTCTTTGCTGTGGCTCGTCAAGGGCTTTCTGATTTATGTCTCCGATGCACTCACTTCGCCTGCCCTGGTGGTGCCTCGCAGCCACAGGGGGTGATGTTGACATACGCCCATGACACACCGTGCGCAGGACACAGAGGAAACAAAGCCACGCTCCATGCTCTCCAACAGGTGGCCTATTGGCCACACATGCAGAAAGATGTAGCTGACTACATAAAAGGGTGCCTGGTTTGCTGCCAGTTTCAACCGGCAAACCCACTTCACCGAGCACCTCTACAGCGCAGAGGTATCTCCTTTCCTTGGTCAGACCTCCAGATCGATTGGGTGGGTCCTCTCACCAAGTCAGCCTGAGGAAACAAATTCTTCCTCACAGTTGTCTGTGCATTCACCAAATGGGTAGAATGCCTACCAGCCCCAAACGATACGGCTCAGACCACAGCCTACCTCTTGATGAACCACATCTTCTTGCGGTTCGGACTCCCAACTCGTGTCGACTCTGACAGAGGGACACATTTCACCTCAGAGGTAATGCAACAACTGTGGCAACTGTTGGGCGTCAAAGCCAACTTCCACATCAGCCACCACCCCCGTCTGGACAGGTAGAACGGGCAAACCGAACAGTGGTAACCATACTGAAAAAGTATGTGTCAGCCAACCACAAGGACTGGGATGTGAAGCTTCCCTTGGTCCTGATGGCCATCAGAGCGACTCCACATGGGTCAACCGGGTTCTCACCCTTCGAGCTGATGACGGGCAGACAGATGACCCTACCTCTGCACCTGCTGTATCAGCCTGGTGAGGCCAGTATAGCAACGGCCTACATGACCCATCAGTACATGACTGACTTACACCAGCACCTGAAGGCAACGTTTGCCTTCACCCAAGAGCATCTCAGCAAAAGTGCTGAAGGACGCAAGTCCTACTATGACCAAAAAGCCTCCCAACAGGAACTCCAAGTGGGTGACAAGGTGTGGTACTACCTGTTCACCCAGCCCACTGGAGATAAAGCCCCAAAGTCTGGGAGACTGGCACGAAAGTTCCTGCCCCGCTGGGCAGGCCCGTACCTGATCACTGAAAAGCTCTCTTCTGTTGTGTACCAAATTAAGATCGCAAAGGGCAACAAAGAGCCGATCCTTAAATGGGTCCACTGCAACCAGATTAAACTTCACCACAACCCCATGGGACTTGTCGGGGCCTCCAGCGCCACCCTTGAGTCATAAACTAGAACAGTCCCAAGTTCTCCTGATTGACGTCAGGTCCCCTAGTCCTCATAGATATTGTGTCTACGTGAAGTTTATCCTATTTGTGCGTCTGTATTGGTGTTGAATTGTTGCCACTGAGTTGCCCTCGGGCACACTTTGGGTCACAAAGGGGGGAGGAGAAAATAAAGTGACAGGGAGCATTTGAATTCTAGATTGTCCTATACCAACTCATCCTAACTATGTCCACCCTCTTCCTCAGGATGATTTGGCTGATAGCGCTCCTGATTCTCGGCTTGGTAGCTGCTCCAGCTAGCCCTGAGATCGTAGAGCCAGGACCGGACTCTGGAATTGTGTTAAGGGATCAGCCTGGACTCCTGATAACAGACTGTCGCCTGCACACACAGAAGGTGTTTGTCAGGCTCAACCCTAAGGAAGTCCTCAAGAAAAATGTTCCGGTAACAGCTCAACTGACCAGTTGGGCCGGGACACATTGGAGTAGGCAGGTCGTAAATCATGCCGAGTTGGACATTACTTACATTTTAGAGCAACTTCAGAAATTCACTGTCACTCAAACAGAGTTAAGTGGTACCAACAGGAGGTCCAAGCGTTTTATCGGAGCACTGCTCACCGCAGCCTCGGTTGTTGGCTCTCTTTTTGGTGTTGGGCTCTCCTCTGTTAATGCAATTAGCTTAGCTGCCGTCAAACGCCATGTGGGTGAGCTAGAAGCCGAAATCCCAGACATCAGGGCTCAGATATACAGACAGCAGACACAACTGCAGACTATTGGTCAAACAGTCAAGGGCACTGTCCTGGTGGTTAACACCCACACAGAAGTCCTGAATAAGACGCTGCATGCTGTAAATTCTTTGTTGTCGGTGGTCCAGGTCGACTATGCTCACACAATGCTGTTGAATATGCTCATGTCAGACATGTTGCAAGAAATATCATCCTCAATAGACAGCTTGGCTGCAGGCCGGATTCCTCCGTACTTGGTACCTCTCTCATTGGTTCAGGATTTACTATCAACTGCAACCAGAGAGGCCATCACTCCTTTACAAGCCCACCTCGCGTATACCCTAGGTAGCGCTGTGCCGATCTACGTTAATCCCGAAGATTGAGAAATTGCTTTCCTTATTAACTTGCCAATTATAGCATCAGGAAGCATCTATAGGCTAAAGGATGTAGTCAATGTCGGGTTTTGGAAAGAGGACACACACCTCCAAATTCAGACCCCACCAGTGGTCGCTTACCACGACAGCAATCCTGACCTATATCTAGCTCCTAACCTGCGTATGTGCACACGAACCAAAGACATACACTACCTCTGCCCCAGTAAACCATTTGTGTGGGACAGTACTAATGGCCTCTGCGGCCTTACTCCCATGGTGGCCGACACCAAATGCCCTACTACAGCAAGACACCGCTCACAAGTGACTGTAACGCAGGCCGAAAGAGTGGGTCACCGTTGGTTAGTTAACACCCCCACCAAGACTGCCATTGTAAATTACGACCAGCACGATACTGCCACACGCATTTCTCTACTGGATCAGACCATGTGGATTGAGGTGCCACAAAATGCCATTCTCCATATAGATGACATTGCCCTCTATTACCTCAAACCTGAGCAATTCGAAACAGAGATTGAAGTGCCAGCATTTTTCAGCAAGCATACGCTGCAGTTAGATCCAAACACTATTTCCCAAATCCAATATGCAGGTACTCAGATCATTGACCTAACGCCTGTAGACGACGTCCTTATAGACATAAGGTCCCAAGAGAAGTCCCCGCTGCAACCCATAGTCTATGTTTGGTCCACCCCAGACACCTTACTAGCAGCCACCATAGTGTTAGGGTATCTCCTGACCTTCGGGTTAACCTTCATCTACGTCAAACATGGTAAAGCCCTACAGTACAAAATAGACCAGTGTGCAACTAGGTGACGACTCCGTAGACAACCGGAAACGGAACAGGGAGTTGAACAGCCAGAGGAAGACCAGGTGAGCCACATGCTCGAGGTGTAGTCAGCTTCCTGTAACCCCGCACCCATAGATTTAGTAGGCTTAACACATACAGTAGATCTAACGAAGCAGCTAGTTCTGAACGAGATGCATCACCCTCCTTGGACTAACTGCTGCTTCCACCTGGTCGTCTCATCTCATCGTCCCAATGGCTCCTGGAGCTGCCATCGAGACGAAGGGGGGATTTGTAACGAGACAACTGCTTTCTGCTATCCACATTGAATCCACCCCTCAAAGGAATGCAGGCTCCCCTGGTTTGGACAGGAAATGGGGGAGTAACGGTTTGCACACCAAGTTCCCATTTACGACCCAGGAAACCATTTGGGAGGTGATAGTGAATCTTTAACGCTTCCCAAAAGGACAAGTTGCTTATCAACAACACAGACCCATAAACACGGAGTCTCTCACCCTGGCTGGGAAAGATCAGAATTGACACTTCAGGATTAACCCAATGACCTAAAAAGGAAAACAAAGCATTTGGCGCCAAATCCTAAAAAAACAGATACCTGCCATAAAATTCCTTGGCTGTCTTTACAGAGCAGAAGGAAGAGGATGCCTGAAAATGGTTTAACTTCATGTTTAATGGACAATTCACCAGAATTTTCTGTCTGCACACCACATTCTCAATGAAATGGTCTTTTTCCCAATTTTGTAACATATCCACAAGCCAAACTGTTAACTTCACAAATTTATTCCAGGTTTTCCATGGACCAAGAGCTCCTCCTAGTGGTGATGCCTGAATGTGGTTTGGTCAGAGCCAAATGGCATTCAGGGAATCTAATCATGTGTATTTCTTCCCTTTTGTTTATACACTTCGTAGCTTAGTAAATGGTATTCCCAAGATAGGCTAGTAGTTTTAGAAGTAGTAACGTGAAACTCGTTTAGACTCAAGTTAAGAGTTTCTGAATGTATCCATACTATGTTTTGTCTACCTCACACAAATATATATATTAATCATCTATGAAGCTTGATTGACAAGGTTATAGTGTTGTCAAATATTATTACGTATGTGTTTCGTATGCTGGATGGTGTTTCTGTTCGAATAGATAATTTGTTCTCTGTCCCTCTCTAACTTTTAAAAGTCGTTAAATCCTCTGTTATTATCAAGAAGGCGGCTGATCAAAAGTTTACTGTTTTCAATGTCATGCTTTAATGCATCTGCTCATAAGAAACAATGAAGTGAAATGTGATCGTATGTGATGTTACAAACAGTTTAATCATAGTGAGTGAGTAAATTAGATCTAGCTCACTTTTACTATCAAGTTGAGTTAATTCGCTGCCAGTCGATGGGCTGCATTGGGGAGCCCCCCCCCCCCCCCTTTTCTCATCTTTGTTCACGCCTACGGTGAATCGCTTAAGAGTTGAGATTTTGCCGCTCTTCAGTTTAGTCTAGTTTTTCTTCGTCTAGTTTTCTTTTGTCTTCGTTTGAGTCTAGTCTTTTGTTTTAGTCTTGTTCGTAGTTTTCTTAGTCTCCGTCTAGCGTTCGCAATTTTCCCCGTGTTTTTATTAAGTGCCTTAAGCTCAGATTTCGTCGTAAATCATGCCGAGTTGGACATTACTTACATTTTAGAGCAACTTCAGAAATTCACTGTCACTCAAACAGAGTTAAGTGGTACCAACAGGAGGTCCAAGCGTTTTATCGGAGCACTGCTCACCGCAGCCTCGGTTGTTGGCTCTCTTTTTGGTGTTGGGCTCTCCTCTGTTAATGCAATTAGCTTAGCTGCCGTCAAACGCCATGTGGGTGAGCTAGAAGCCGAAATCCCAGACATCAGGGCTCAGATATACAGACAGCAGACACAACTGCAGACTATTGGTCAAACAGTCAAGGGCACTGTCCTGGTGGTTAACACCCACACAGAAGTCCTGAATAAGACGCT